TGATATGGCAATTGTTATAGGTGGGAAAAAATTTGAAATATAAATCGTCCTACAGTAATTTTTAAAATGCAGTTGAAACATTCCAATAATTCTAGTGGCTTTACCTGTCATATCTTGTCCTTTATTAAAAGATATTTTGTGTTAGTTCATTTAAAGTGTGCTGTCAATGCATCAATCCATAAGTTTCATTTTTTGTTTAGGTTTGTGTTTTAATTAGTATTTTTTTTTATAGAAATGAAGACGTAGCACTTGTCAAAGAAAGTGAGAGTTCATTAATCTTTAATCATATGCACTATGCATTTTAGAGCTTATGCAATGAAGAGGCTTCATTCCTGGAAAGCAGATAAAGAAAGATCTCATAAGAAAAATAAAACAAGTATGCATGACTATAGGTATTTGTGTGTAAATTTGAATATCTTTTGCTTATGATATAGTACTATGTGTAGCTGCATCTTCATACCGAATATTTATATCATTTAAAGCGTAGTTTGAGTAATCTCTGTTACAGTGTGTTTTTGTATTACTGGTAGTGTGAGGGTGGTAGGTGATATAAAGGAACACATCCCATTCAACCGGCCATTGCATTGTATTAGGTTTGTTGGCATTGCTGTATACCGGGAATCAGTAGTTTTTTAATAACTATTAATTTGGATTACGAAGATTGTTCATGAAGTGTCAATTTGTTGATGGTAGGTGTGCAGAAGTAAAAGGGGTTCTACTTTGCTACTACCAAAAGTATCATGGGCAGATTAAAAGACTTGTGATGTACCTTCATATATTGTATGTTTTTGTGTTTACTTTGTGTATTAACTATTTCGTCCTAGCATTTTGAAATAAAAGGTGTGGCAAATTCATTAAAGAGCATGATTGTTAACCGATTTGATAACAGCTCCTCAAAGGCATTCATTTGAGTATTGCTTCAGTTCATCAAGACATAATCCTTTTGTGTGCCCCATGCCACGCATTGTGATGTGTAAGTTCCAATAATTTTTTTTCTTATCTTTTCTTGCTTATCTACTTTTTTTAGTCTTAGCTGAGTTCGATATTGGAGGGTGTCAGGTTCACATTTTTTAGCAGCAGAAGATTCCACAGCCACTTCTTGATTCATGCTCATCAAGCTACAACAGCCGGAGTCTGGAGAGAGCTAGGAGTAGGACAATATGTAGTGTCCCTGAGGTTAACTATAAAGAGCCTGAATCTTCTTCAGATAAGTCAGATGAGACATTGGACTTGGATGAAGATGATGGTAAGATGTGAATGATTTATTTTGTGGGTCTGCCTATCTTTCTGTTTCAGTATGCTAGCTGTTATCTACTCACTATTTAACTCTTTGATGCATACTCGCGACTATATTCGCGCACTAACAATATTAATGATTGCATATAAGCGACTATTGTAACGCATGCATTTCTATGTGTATACAAGTTTTAAAACTGGTTTTATGGGCGAGGTAGAGAGTTTTTTAGCTTTATCTAACGTTCTTCTTACAGTTTCTGTAGTTAGAATCAGCTAGCTTGTGGCTCTACTAAGTTACAGAGGTAGAAACCATCGTCGTGTAGTTAGGCTAGAAAGAGGGCTTGTTGCACAACTCATACATGAAGCACTCGAAAAAAGGAAAACATATTTTTACTCTTCTATGTATGAGGAGTTCATAGAGCTATAACAAGTAGGTAAAAGGTATATAAAGCACTTAGAAAGAAGGAAAACAGTTTTGCCTACCACCGGCCATCAAAACTAATGGAGAAATGAAGTGGGCGTGATCTCAAAGCAACTCAGACAAGGAGCGCATTTTCTACCATTTCTCTCTATCGAGAAGCAAGCCTGAAACCTACAGGATACCTGGAATAGGACATGCAGAAGGCATTCATAAAGTCAAACCATCATGTCTTCGTGTTTTTTAAGCCTTCTTGTCCATGCAAAGCAATGGAGAAGAGAAGAGAGCGTGGTCTCGAGGTCGTGATAGTAGGCTCTCTTTCTTGCTTACTTTCTTCACTTATGAAATAAGGAAAGATCTAATTAATTGCTAGACATTGTATATACACTTGCTTTATTGTTTGATGTCATAATTACTGTTCATTATTGCTGCTTTATTTGTCATAAAATATCTAAGCTACATTACTGCATTATTAAAATGGTGACTTGTGGAACAATGGTTTGGAACTGTACAATTACTTTAAGTGTCCCTTTGTCCCGTAAAAAGATGCATCTGTCATTCTTGGTTGATATTTTCATGTTTTAGCAACTGTATGTAGCTGCTATCCCAACATTGCAAACTACTGCCCATGCGGTTTATTAAATAGTTATGAACCCTGTCCACCAAAGAGTTAAATGTCTCACACTAAACAGTTTATTGATTGGCCTTTAAAATTTAGCTTACCATTTTTATGAGGGTGGTCCGTATCATAATTATGACGTATTTTTATTTTGTACTAAATTGTGTGTATAGTTAATGGTGATTAGTGACACGGATGTATAATGTGGACGGAAACAATTCTAGTTTTATGAAAATGTTTTCTACATGTACATAGGTTGACTTTAATGCATCTGTTTCTTTTCAAAGATATGATTCAAGGTTTGATAAATATGTAGATTTATCAGAAGATGACATTGTGGAAGATTTTGATAAATTAATTGGTATTGTGTCTGATATCAATGATCAGGTAGGTTTTCATATTATAGGTGCATGTAGACTAATGATTCTTAATGATTTGCCAACTACAAGAATTAGTATCACAGCCAAAATGTGAAACTTTCCCTCAAGATAAGAATGGCTGCAGTTAATTGGATGATCCTATTTTAGAACAGCCTGATGCTTTCGCAATTGCCAAAGAGGCTGTTATTCCTCCAAACAAACAAGAAAAATTGTGAAAACTGTTGATGACTTCATGCAACTTCCTGCGCCATATCCTCTTCCTAAGCATTTTAAGAGTGATGTCGAAGCAGACATTAAGAGCGGCAAGATATCTTTTAAGAGTCGTCGTGTTTTTATGTCTGACATAGCATCTTCAATGCTTGCTTTCAAGAAGTATCCTACGAGGAATGATTATGCAAACGTAGCTCCAACCATACTTTAGGAATATCCTTTCTTAAGTCTGCACCAGGATCTGGAACACCTTATATAAGCTATGTTATTAATGTTGCTGTATTATATTGGTATTGTATAGATGCATGAATGCTCTTTGAATTGATGCTTTATACATGTGCATGTATAATTGTATAATATAGGGCAACATAAAGAAAGAGTTAGAGTCGAGATTTAAGGCATTTCGAAGGCCAAAGAAGGACGCTAATTGCAGTAACCCACCTACTGAGTGTAAGAGCAAAATTATTCGTAAACACCCTGGTATTAGCAGCTATTACTAACGTTGCTGGAGAGGATGAGTTTTCATCTGGGCAGCACAACAAGCTATTTTAAGGCTGAATTTTCACTGACGAATCCAAACCAACTAGTTGTAAGTGAAGTTATGCACTTGTCTTTTCCTATGAGACGACAGGACATTACAAATGGATATAATGGTTTTGCTGACCTATTTGATAAATACCCTGCATTCCAGGATTATGACCAGGTAAGGTTCCTCTCTCCCCTTTTATTACCACAAATGTAATATGCCTCAAATTATATAGAACCTACATATGTACATGTAGTTGTATTTATTAATTTTATTAACACAGCAATGCACTTGAACATGAATTTTATTATTATTTATTTTTATTTAAATTTGATATTGATTTTTATAGTTATCTGTAGAGATGTGCTGGATACTAAAGAAATCATCTGGGTTTATTTCTGAAACTGTTGATTCTTGGAAAGCACTTTTGCCTACTATTGTAGATGTTGTAAATGTTGAATTGAAGCACAGTGGACAATTGAAATCGTCCTTGTAAGATATTACAAATGATGTAAGTATTATTACAAAAATATATAAATTAAGTATATTTTACTGACATTCCTTGCTCACTTTTCTCCTTGTTAACACTACCATATGTGACCCGATATGAGAAAACCAGGCTATCTGCTCCGAAATTGAAAATTGAGATTTTTGCTTTTCTTAAATAAGCACAGCTTTTCCTTAGTTTTGGTCTTTGTCCCATGTCATTTGACACATCTAGTGCTGAGTTATGATTATTTATGCAAAAAGAAGTGTAAACGGATGCAATTGAGTTTCAGCCATTTCTATCCTTATACCCTGCATTATTTACATGGTGCACAACAAAAAGAAAGGTCTGTAAAATACCTCTTTTAACTTATTTACGGGCAAACTTGGTATCAAATGAAAGAAAATTCTTGATACAATACATTGTTGATAAAATCTGAGTTTTGATAAGGTACCACTGTCAACTTTGGGAAGCCATATCTCTAATTGATAATTCCCGCAGATAGCCTGGTTTTCTCATATCGGGTCACATATATTGTTCCTGATTCAAAGGCCAAGATAACGCATACTACACTTACGCAATTCTTACCTGAGGTATAATTATTAGCTAAATTTTAAAATTATTTTATACATAATAGGCATGTGAAGATATTCAATATAAAATAGACCAAATCCCAATAAACACACCGTATTTACTGATAGAGGGGTCTGTTATAGTCCTATTTATGTTTATCTTGTGACAGATCGTTTCCTAATTTGTGATGTTCCTATGATGTCTTCTCTTCCTTTTTGATGTCGGCATACTTCGTAAGGTATCCATATGGCTTAAATAATTTTTTTTCTTTCCTTGAGGTTATTATGTTTGGACTGAAACCTGAGAAAGTTGCAACAACTGTCAATAACTTACTTTCTCGAGTATGCAACAATTAACAAGTATATGCTTCATGAATGAACCTATATAAGAAGACTAAAGATTATATATATATATATATATATATATATATATATATATATATATATATATATATCATACATAGATATTATAACATTTATTTTACTTTAGT